GGGCAGCCCCTCCTGTCCCACAGCCAGGATTCCTCCTGCCCCCCCTCCCTGTGCTCCTCCCGTGCCTGTGTGTCCCTAAACACGCCTCGTTCCTGTGATTTCCCAAGAATTATTTCTCAAAATCATGGAACCAGGGAATGGTTTGGGCTGGAGGGACCTTAGAGGTCACGGCAGGGCGTGAGCAGGGACACCTCTCACCATCCCAGGCTGCTCCAGCCTGGCCTTGGACACTTCCAGGGATGGGGCATCCTCTGGGAAATCCAGTCCAGGGCCTCACCACCCTCCCAGGGAAGAATTCCTTCCCAATATCCCATGTCTCCCTGCCCTCTGGCAGTGGGAAGCCATTCCCTGTGTCCTGTTCCTCCATCCCTTGTCCTCAGTCCCTCTCCAGCTCTCCTGGAGCCCCTTTAGGCCCTGGAAGGGGTTCCAAGGTGTCCCTGGAGCCTTCTCTTCTCCAGGGGAACATTCCCAGCTCTCCCAGCCTGGCTCCAGAGCAGAGGGGCTCCAGCCCTGGCAGCATCTCCGTGTCCCCTCTGGACTCTCTCCAGCAGCTCCACGTCCTTCTTTTGTTGTTCCCAGGGCTGGAGGCAGCTCTGTGGGGGGGTCTCACCTGAGGGGCAGAGGGGCAGGATCCCCCCTGCTGCCCAGGATCCCTGTGGGATCAGCCCAGGCAGGAGGATGAGCTGGTCCCTGTGCTGGGAAGAGCTGGGATCACCCAGGGCCAGGAGCAGGCACTGGTGGTGCTGGGATTGCTGGGATCGGGGGTGTGCAGGGATGGGGGTGTGGGGGCACATGGCAGGGTCAGTTGTGCCCTGGCCCAGCTTTGGGAGTCAGAAGGGGAGTCAGACGAGGGGAATTCAGGGGGAATTTATGTCTCCCGTGCTCTCCTGCAGTGCCCAAGTGAGGATGGACCCGAGGGCAAGATGAAGAGCAAGGTAGGTCTGGGCTGGGGCTCTGGGATTCCTGGAGGATGGAGCGTTTGAGGGTCCTGGATTAGCCCCTGTCACCCCAACTCGGGCCTCCCTCATCCCACGGCTGGGGAGGGGATGCTGGGGTGGGATGAGGAGCCTGAGGGAAAGCTGCCCCTCTGGGAGGGAGGTGGAGGGAGGGCTGTAAATGGGGCCAGGAGGAGGGAGGAGGGCAGGACTGGTGTGCCCAGCGTGGGCACAGCCCCGTTGGCAGCCAGGGCTCCTGGAGCAACTCGGGGTTGGACACGAGGGGCAGGTCCTGGGGCCTGGGAACGGGTATAGGGGGGTGAGAACTGGGGCTGTGGGGTGGGAACACGGAGGTAAAGGGTCGTGCCTGAATTCTGTGGGGCAGGAGAGGGTGGGGGGGCTGGGCTGGGTTTGTCCTGTGCTGGAGCCACAGCAGGGATTTTTCCCACCTCATCCCATCTCAGAGCCCTCAGGTCTCACTCCTGTCCCCAGGTGGATGCTGCAGCTGCTGGGTGGGACCAGGGCCCGTGGGGATGCCCCTGGTCCCTGCTGCCTGCGGGGCTGCCCCTCCCTGAGAGCTCTGGGGGTCTGCACCTCATCCTGCCCTGGCATGGCCCTCCCTGAGCCCGTCCTGAGCTGTGACAATAAAACCAGCCCCTCCGGGGGCCTTTGGTCCCAATAAAAACCCCAAACCCCTCTGTCCTGCCTGTCCTGGGGTTGCCTGGGCCGGGGGGAAGCGGAGGGAAGAGCTCCAGGGGGGATGTGGGGCCGTGGAACTTCCCCCCCCCCGCGGGTGGAAGGTCTGGGAAAGGACGGACCCACTTTGGGGAACAACCACAGAGGTGTCTGGGGCAGAGGGAAACCAGCCAGGGGAAGGACAGGGAGGAAGGTTTTCCTGCTGGAGCTGGAGGATGATCCTGGCTGGGAAGGAAGAGCAGCAGCATCAGAACTGTGGCATTGGTGCTCCTTCATCAAAGCACAATTTCTTTATCCACACCAGAGACCCATGAACAGCCCCCAGCATCCCCTCCCCGTGGCATGAGGAAGGATAAACCTGCACAGGTGGGGCCAGAATTCCCAGAATCCCACGTTTCCCCCAAATTCCACTGAATTCCCACAAAATTCCACCAAAACTCCCTTAAAATAGCGCAAAAATTGTACTAAAGTATCCCAAACATGTAAAACACATCTGAAGTACCCCCAGACTCTCCAAAAATATCCCAGAATTTCCATGAATTACCCCAATATTCCCAAACCCACAAAACCAGCTCCAAAAAAAATCCCAAATTCTGTCAAATCCACCCAAAATACGTGCAAAATACACTTGACCCCCCCAAGTCATCCCAAAATCCTCCCAAACTCCCAAATTCCCACAAGTTGCATCAAAATACCCAATCACGTCCCCTAATATCCCAAAATGCCCTCAAAATCCACCCAAATCCCTGAAGATTTTGATGGGACTTGGGGGAATTTGGGGGTCTTGGGGGATTTGGGGGTGATTTGAGGGTTTGGTGTTTTGGTGGGGCTTGGGGGAATTTGGGGTTTTTGGAGGATTTGGGGATGATTTGTGAGTGTATTTTGCCCGTATTTTGGGCAGATTTGAATTGGTGATTTTTTTTGGAGGTGGTTTTGTGGGTCTGGGAATACTGGAGGGATTTGGGGAAATTCTGGGACGCGTTGGGACCTTTGGGGGTACCTTGGTTGTGTTTTACACCCGGGGGGTGTTGCTGCTCCCGGGGGCTCAGCACCGGCACAACCCCGGCCACACCAGCACCATTCCCACCATTAGAGGGCATCCCTGGATTGACTGTCCCATCCTTGGATTCACTGTCCCATCCTTGGATTCACTGTCCCATCCCTGGATTGACTGTCCCATCCCTGGATTGACTGTCCCATCCCTGGATTGACTGTCCCATCCCTGGATTCACTGTCCCATCCTTGGATTGACTGTCCCATCCCTGGAATGACTGTCCCATACTGGGATTCACTGTCCCTTCTTTGGATTGACTGTTCCATCCATGGATTGACTGTCCCATCTCGGGATTCACTGTCCCATCCTGGAACTCACTGTCCCATCCCTGGATTGACTGTCCCATCCCTGGATTCACTCTCCATCCCTGGATTCACTGTCCCATCCCTGGATTCACTCTCCCATTCCTGGATTCACTCTCCATCCCTGGATTCACTCTCCCATCCCTGGATTCACTCTCCCATCCCTGGATTCACTCTCCATCCCTGGATTCACTCTCCCATCCCTGGATTCCGTGTCCCATCCCTGGATTCACTGTCCCGCTGCTGCTCCGGGGCATTGTTGGCACAGTTGGGACCTGGGGGATGTCCCAGCCCAGGCTGCAGAGCTGTTTTGCCCTGGCACACTGACCCCTGGCCCTGGACACTGGGGGGGATGTCCTGGTCCCCTGGACGCCCCTGGATGCCCCCGGATGCCCTTGGATGCCCCTGGATGCCCCTGGATGCCCCCGCATGCCCCCGCATGCCCCTGGATGCCCCTGGATGCCCCTGGATGCCCCTGGATGCCCCCGGCACCTCGGCCTGGGGCATTCTTCAGGAGACAGGGCCTGGCAGATCCCAGCAGGGGCTTTGCTGCCACAGGGGAGAAGCAGCACCCCCGGGACTGTGTCACACTGCCCACTGTGCCCTTTCCAGACCCTCATTCCAACCCTCCAGGGCACAGCCCGTGTTTGTGACCCCCCGGGGCACCGAGGTGGGCGAGAACATCCACTTTTAGCGAGCCCTCCCCAGGAAAGGTCTGGAGAGCACGAAGTGGAAAAATCCACTGGATGGGGTTTTTTTGTCCGAAGCGACCGCTCACGTGGCTTTTAATTTATGAGCATCCCAGTCCCTGGGATCCCGGGCACCTCAGCGAGGACCGGGAGAAGGTGACGGTGCCGGGAATGAGATGCCAGTGGGAGTCACAGCTGGCAAACAGCAGCACGGATCTGAGGGCACTGCAGTGCCCAGGGACCACGGGGGACTGGGGGTCCTCTCTGTGCCAGGCTGGGCTCGCAGCACCCTCAGGGATCCCTGACATCAGGGTCTGAGCACCCTCAGGGATCCCTGACATCAGGGTCTGAGCACCCTCAGGCACCCCTGACATCAGGGTCTGAGCACCCTCAGGCACCCCTGACATCAGGGTCTGAGCACCCTCAGGGACCCCTGACATCGGGGCCTGAGCACCCTCAGGGAGCCCTGACATCGGGGTCTGCCCCTCCAGGGTCTGGGAGGGCGTTCAGGGCCCGAGGGGAGGATTTAGGATTTGCCCCCCATCCTTTTGCCATCACTCCTCTGCGCTGCTCCCGTTTTGCCCAGTGTGGAGCCTGGGAATGAAGCACTGAGGCCCCTGCAAAGTGTGGGAGGGTGGGTTCCTTGTCTCCTCTCTTCTTTGTGACTCTCCCTGTCCCTCCAGGCTGAGCAGAGTGGGAGAAGGGGGCACCCAGCAGCCCCGCTGCCCGTGCCCCCCGTTCTCGGCGTTGCTCTTGGTGCCCAGCCAACAAACCGCCCCCAAATCTCACCCTTCCAAGGTCCTTTTCCTCCCTGCACCCGCCTCAACCCTCGCAGGAACTCTCTGCAGCCCCTTTGCCCGCTGGTGACGTGTCCCCTCCGAGGGCAGGACCCTGAGGGGTCACAGGACGTGTGTTTCCAATGGGAGCCTGGTGAGCAAGGGATAAGGAAAGAATCCCAATCAACTCGAATTAACTCTTCCCACCACTGCTTGAGCCCTGGAGGAGATCCTGCTGCAGAGCAGGGGTTGGCACTGCCACCATCCAGTGGGGCCACAGCTGGGAGGGGACGATGGTCCATGTGCAGCCACCCCTTCCTCAAACGGGAGGGGTGGGAAAGTGCCCCTGGGGCAGCACCAGCACTGACTCAGTGGCCTGCAGCCACCCCCCAGTTGCCCCCAGGTGGGTGCAGGGGCCCCTCTGCCCTCCCTGGGCCGAGGAATTGCTGCATTATCCCACAGTTTTTGGGTGGAAAGCGTTTGGCTGCGCGGGGAGGGTGAGAGGGAGCGACGTGGGAGAGAGGAGACAAACGGGCCAGGAGAGGTTTGCTGCTGCTTTTCACAGGAGACACAGGGGAGAAAAGAGGAAAAAGGACCCAAAACCGAAGGAAATGGAAGGAGGAGACACGTGGAGAGGACACAGTCCCTGGGTGCTGTTGGGATCCAGGGGGAGCCATCGGGGCTGCAAAAGGTGCTTCTGCAGAGTCCTCTGGGGTTGTGCCCAAGGGTGTCACCACTGCCCCTCTGCCCCCTCCCTGGTGGCACTGAGAGCTGGGCACTGACCCTGTGCTCTGGGTTTGTGCCCAAGGGTGTCATTGCCCCTCTGCCCCCTCCCTGGTGGCACTGAGAGCTGGGCACTGACCCTGTGTTCTGTGGTCCCCACCACTGCCATGGGATGCCTTTGCCCATCCCTTGCCGTGCCTGTGCCCAGCTCACTCCTCCCCGATTGTGGAGGGGGAAGAAAGGCCTTGAAGAGCTTCAGCTCTCCAGCAATCCCATCCCACTGCCCGGGGCTTCAGCAGCTTCACTCCCTTTTTCCCAGTGCCCAGGTGGGTCCATGGATGGGGGGAGTCAGAGCATGTGGTGCCCCCACATCCCCCAGACAGGGGGGTCTCCATCAATGGGTGGGCACCTCCTCCCCGGTTTGGGTCACGGGTCTTTATTTGCAGGAAGAAAAACTGCGCCTCTGTCTGTACAACTTCTCCTTAAATACTTGGCAACCCTTAAAAAAAATTAGAAACAAAAACAAACGGGGGAAAAAAAAAACCAAAAATGAACCCAGAAAGGAACAGTGCAGGGCTACAACATCCAAACAGTGAATAAATAACCCCCCTTGGGTGGGGGACACGACTGCTGGGACTGCTTGGGGCTGCCCGACCCCTCCAGGTCCTCACTCCCTTCTCCTGATGGCAGGAGCAGCGTCCGGGGTGGGCACAGACCCCCCCTCCCTGCCCTCCCCTGCCCCAAATTGTCCAGTGGGGCCGGGGTGGGCACAGACCCCCCCTCCCTGCCCTCCCCCGTCCCTAATTGCCCGGCTCGGCCTCGGTGGTGCTGCCGGCAGCGTTTTTGGCGGATTTGCAGCAGAAGTACTGGTTCCAGATCTGCAGGAAGGCTGTCCGGAACTTCTTGATGCGGAAGGCGTAGACGATGGGGTTCATGGCCGAGTTGCCGTGGGTGAGGAAGATGGCGATGTAGGTGAGGATGTGGGGGGTCTGGCAGGACGGGCAGAACAGGGTGATGCAGTTGAGGACGTGCAGGGGCAGCCAGCTGAGGGCGAAGAGGAACAGGACCAGCGCCAGGGACTTGGCGATCTTCAGCTCCTTCCCGTAGTACTTCTGGGGGTCGTTGGAGCTGGAGGAGACCTTCTTGTTGAGCTGCTTGCGGATGAGGTTGAAGACCTCCAGGTAGATGAGCAGCATGAGCAGCAGGGGGGGCAGGACCCACACGAAGAAGTTGAAGTAGACCATGTACTCCATGCTGATCACCGTCTCGAACTGGCACGTGATGACGAACTCCTGGCTGCCGTTGGGCTCCTGAGTCCTCCTCATCTTGCTCAGGTTGTTCCAGCCGAACATGGGGGTGAGTCCCACCAGGAAGGACACGATCCAGCAGCAGGCGATGGCCACGGCCGCCCGCCGGGGCGTCACCACGCTCTTGTACCTGCAAAATCACGTCTGGGTTGG